TTCCTGCTCCTCTGATGCTGCCTGGCCTGCTGTGTTCATCCAGCTCTACACTTTGTTATCTCAGATTCCAGCATCGACAGTTCCTACTATCCCCAAAAGTCTAAAACTAGTTTTGTCTAGCACAGGAGCTTGAATAATGAGTGTTTTTTCCTCCCCCAATACTTCTCAAGTCTCCCGGGTGACATACTGTACACCCTTGTGTCATGTTGTTCCATCACGAGCAGTGGAACGAATTCAAGAGAACTCAGATTCAACACAACACCTACTCAAAATAGTATGGCAGACAAAACATGATTGAGTACATCATCAGCTGAGACAATAGCAAGGGCAATGTTGGACAGTTAGTGATGTAACTATGTTGCTGAGAGAAGACTGTTTGTATTTGTGGCACAATTACACACTTCTGGGGCTGTGTCTCAGCATACCTGATAATCTGTCAGAGGATAGATTACGTATGGGCTTGTTACAGCAACACAACAGTGTAATCCATAGCCATAATGGTGGCATTTTTGAATTTCCCTGGCAGAAAACTGACCTTGCACGACAGCAGTCTGGGATTCCAATGTTACACTCAGACATTGTGATGCTGCTGCTTATACTGCTAGTTCATCATTGCTGCATCATGGTCCATAGCGGCACAATTGCCAATTGGCCACTATTGTCATGCTCAAACAAACTGGCCAATTGTATGCTCATTGACATTGAAAACTGGCTTTTTGGCTTCTATCCAAATGGAGAACACATTTAGTTGTGAATATCCATCAGTGTTTTGCCTTGTGGCGCTCCGATTGAATTGTTCATTCGGATTTTCTGCAATGAATCTCTTGTGTGACTGCCCTATCGACAGCTAACCTCCCCGTTATTCTTGCCCCCTGTCTTGGTTGCAGTCCACTCAAGCCTGATGACTCATCACTTTCACATCCTATCTCTAATCTATACTCCAAGGTATGGGCAGTGTCAGTATCTAAACTAGTAACTGTAAGTTTGAAACTGAGTGATGGTTTGTCTTCATTTTCACCACTGTTTCTTTCTGTTCTTCTACTGCTTGGCCAGATTTCATTACATGGTATTTGAAAATGTAGTAGAGCAAGGGTAATATTGTCATGCTAGGAATAGGGAGAAGAAAGAAGAGGATTAGTAGGCTTTCTGCAGTTTGAAAATCTGAAGAGAAAATGTAGGTAAGGAACAAATGCAATGTAAGCAGGAGGACAGGCGATGACTATATCATTGCCTTTCATAATTCAGCTCAGATGCTGATTACAGCCTGAGTAATGGCCTGTTCTGTTTTCCCCAACAGGACATGTACATATGTCTGTACACATTATAGTCAGCTTCTTCTGCCTTCAGTTTTGTATCATCTGCTTTTGTGAAATGAAGAGTGTCCATGAGCATTATACAATCTATTTCACTGACGTGGCTGTCAGGGTTGAAAAGTTAATATTGTGTGCAACCTATAAATTATGGGGGTGAGATTCACAGCAGCATTAAGTGTGTGATGGTGAAATAAAGTATACAAAAGTTAGCCAAGTCTTGACTGAGATCAAGTGGTAGTAGATGAGCAATGGAGGTATTGAACTGAAGAATGACTGAGACTATGGTGTATGTGGAACAGCATGGAATTTTAAGGTGCATTCAGTGATCTTAACCCCATGCGAGACTGGTGAACCTTTTAGAACAATGAACAGGATTCTCGAGGTTTGAATTCTGACATAGGCCTCCGTGGCTGTCTACTTCTACTGCCTTTCGGCATGTGTCTTGTGGATCTCCTGGTCCCTGTGATATAGAAAATCTCTCCTAATTTCAATTTCCTCCACCAAAGCCTCAAGTGCAGTGTCTAATGCACATTGTGCCAGTCTTTAATATTTCCTAGGTCAGGCTCATTTCCTGCACAAACATCTGATCTGTTTCAATCACAAAACAACTCCTCTTTAAGTGGAGAAGACCAGCTTTAAGTAATCTTTTTGCTAACAAGGTATGATTTTGGGCCCCCTGTTGATGTGTGCAGCCAACGAACAACACATTTCGTGCTGATAATCTGCAGTAATGATTCAGTGAAACAGCTAGCTGATATTTGTGTGCTGTCTACATTACAGTGAAAAGGCATTATATGAGTGTTTCTTATGTGCTTGTTCATTTTTGGAAAATATATACATTTGAGTTTTTTTTCAACGTAAAATGTGTCGTGATGAGATGCTCTATAACTTTTGAAGATGGCGACGAAATTTTATGAAGGTGTTAGATAATTCAGTACTAAATGATTTACACAGCAAGTGGCTAGGATCTGCAGTGTCCTGCCTGAAATGTGGTGGGGAAGATTCAATCATTGCATTCAAAAGGGAATTGGATCATTAACTTAAAAGGAAAAAAAAATGCAGAAAGAGGTGGGGGAATGGCACTAGGTGAATTGCTCTTGCAAAGTCTACACAGACATGCCAGGCTAAATTGTTCTTCCTCCTGCACAGTAACGTTTATGATTCTACAAGACAGATATATTGTTCACTCCTGGGGCAAGCTTTGAAAGCTTAATTAGATCCTAAGGCAGGAACAGACACCATCAAATGTAGGGGATGTTCAGTACCACACATTAGGGATATTCAAGATCTGTACTAATCTAGAGTAAGAGGTTAATAAAGACTTAAAAATGCAACAAAGTGGTGGAGATTAATTAACAATAAATATTATGGAGATGGAAAGTAAAGAGAGAACAAACTAGTGAAATGTCAACAAGAGAGAGGAAAGTAAGAATTAAATCTGCCATTAATAGTTTCAAAAGCTTTACTGGTATTCAATATTACAAAAAGTGATTATATTTCCCTAATATATTACTATCACATGAGTCACAATGATAGAACTAGCTTTTAAATCAGTACCTGCGTTTCTCCTTTATGTTGCTTTTCATTATCTTCATTGAACCCAACTTTTTCCAGCATTGTGTCCATCACTTGAGAGAGCTGAATGGCTTCGACCCTACCACTGGGCTTCCTGACAAGACAGATACAATATACAAATGACATAATTATATGCAATCGGTAGTTTTGTTTTGCATGGTGGTGACCTTTTCACTCATTTGGGCCAGTATCACTGAATGCAATGGTCTCCCATACATAGTTGCCATCAAAAATTTCCAACTTTGGTACAGTGCATAGTAAGCATTCCTCTGCATTTTGGGATAAGTTGATTGATAAATAACAGTAAAACAAGAACATAAGAAACAGGGATAAAATAAGACCACATTGCCCTTCAAGACCATTCCACAATCCAAGACGATCATGGCTGATCTTCAGCTTCAAATGCACTTTCCCCTCTGCCTCCCAAAACCGTGATTCCTGGGGAGATTGAATATCTGTATATCTCAGCCTCAAATATATTTAGTATTGGAACATCATACTGTCTGGGGTACAGAATTCCAAAGATTCTCAATCCTTTGAGTAAAGAAATTTCTACTCATCTTTGTCTTAACAGCTGCCCTTTTCCTAAGCATGCCCCTAAATATATTCTTGATTCTCCAGTCATGTGAAACAACCTTTTAGTTCTAATGTCAAGCACTGACAGGATCTTGCATGTTTCTCTCCCTCTTCTAAACTCCAGAAAATACAGACATAATTCACTCAGCCTTCCAATTAGGAAAACTCTCTCAAAGGTCGACATCATTTGCGTTCCAAATTGTTTACTGTATGTTCATATTAACTTTCTGTGTTTGCTGTGTGAGTACACCGAATCTCAACCAACCAAACTGAAATTTTATATCCTGGCTCAATCAGTCACCCACATGCCACATTTTCTGCTCTTGCAGGCTCTATAAAATCCCATTCACTAAATAATCAGTGTATGCCACTACTCACATGGATGGAAATACCCTCAGTTTCTTTTCATGGTCCTGCAGCAGGGTTGTATATTTACTAGAAGAAAGAATGGGTACAGATCATTAGATACTCTGGCAGATTCTTTTCAGGTAACACTGTATTACACATAACTTAATGTGTATAAATGAGCTTGTGCTCCTTGAAGGAAGATGTACTCAAAAGGAAGCTAGGAAGCAACATCCCTACAATGTTATAGCTTGTATTAAAAGCACATTCCCAGCGTACTAACGTTATTTTTTTAGTTTAAATTACCATAATGGCAGTGAATTTCAGCATCAATGTGATGTATCATGAAGTGCAGGTGGTGAGTAGGTACCAGTATAGTTATGTAGGTAATACATGAAAAAAAGATATTCACCTCTAAACTAAAGCAAATCTTTGTATCAAGTAACTACTGTTTTAAAGGGTTACTCACTCCTCATAGTATTCTAGTCCTAGGACCCCTTTATTCTTTACAATGTGGTACTCATCTGGTATCAGGCTCTCAGGCACGTCAAGCTGCTTCTGTTGAGAGAAATATTGGCCAATGTTTTAATTTCCTGAAGGATTGGGAGTGGGGGTGTTTGGTGGTACCTAGGAAACCCGCAAGAAAGTGCAACATGTATGTCAGTGGCTTTTCAACCCACCAATGACATTACCATAGCTTTTCCAAGTCTCTTGAGCAATGGGCTGGGGCTGTGGCCAATGGCAACAGAACCAGTGAGAGGGAAAAGCATACTTGACCTCACCCTTACCAATCAGTCAGCTGCAGATATGTCTGTCCATGATAATATTGTTAAGAGTGACCACTGCACAGTCCCGTGGAAATGAAGTCCCACAATCGTATTGAACACCCTCGATTGTGTTGTGTTGTATCACCATGCTAAACGGAGTAGGCTTCAAACAGATCTAGCAACTCAAGGCAGGGCATCCATGAGGCTCTGCAGACCATCAACAGAAGCAGAATCACACTCCAACACAATCTGTAATCTCATGGTCCGACACATTCCCCACTCCATTATTACTATCAAACCAGGGTATCAACCTTGGTTCAATGGAGAGTGCAGGAGGGCATACCAGGAGCAGTACCAGACATACTTAAAAATGAGGTGTCAACCTGGTGAAGCTACCAAACAGGACAATTAGCATGCCAAACAGCATAAGCAGCAAGTGATAGGTAGGGCTAAGCGATCCCACAACCAACAGATCAGATCAACACTCTATAGTACTGTCACATCCAATGGTCGTAGACAGTTAAACAACATACTGGAGGAGGCTTTGCAAACATCCCCATGTTCAATGATAGAACAGCCCAGCACATCAGTGCAAAAGATAATGCTGTCCATGATGCTGGACATTTGAATTTAAGAATGTGGAATTGACTGCTGTGAAAAAGAAGAAGTGACTTGCCTTCCCTGAATATTCTATGCTATGAGGGACTTGTCAGGATGGAATGGCTCCACATTACTGAAGCAGCCTCAATTGAAATCTCCCGTCGGAGAGCTATTTCATTTCGTGAAAAATGAGCACAGTGACAATCTGCAAGAGATTGCAATTCATTGGAAAATCTGGCACAAATTGATTAAATTTGTAATTATTTGCGGGTGTTGGACATTAATTGGACATTCACATACATAGGAGCATACGAGAACTCCACTGATTTGGTTTGAATGTGCGTATTTGTATTGCTCGTCTCTGCAAATAAAAGCTTATGTGTATAAATACAAGGTTCCAGTTCTATCCTTCTCTGCCTGGCTGTCTAAAGGGTTAATAGTCAACACCAAAAGTTAAAACTCTCCTCTCCTGAACGGATTGCTCACACCAAGTCCAACATATTGCAGTTAAATGTAGATGTCAACTTGTCACAACAGATTTCTGGTGCGCTGCCAATTTCCCTGATTTAAATCTCTCAGCTATTCTCAAACCTACATGATCCTGCACATTAACTCTCAGTGCAATAGCTCTTAACATTAGGATCAATTATTAAATATTTGCTCCAAGCAACAGACCACAAACATTGCTTAGAGGATATCTCAACCCAATGACATTATCCTTGCCTTACAACTTTCTCCCTTTGAATTACATCAATCTTACTTGTGATGACTTCCACCAACCTCACTAAATCTCCAAAAGGAATGTGGAGTGAAGCTGCAAACCAAATACATGGCTGAATAAATCCCCAAGATGTTTGAATTTGAATCTTCATTAGACATAGACAAACACTGAAATCTGCAACATTTTAAACTGGAACTCAATTTGTCCCAGATTCGGTTCTTAGCATATCATTCAAGATTCTTAACCAGCTGTGACAAAATTAAATATACTTAAATTGCAGGGTTAAACATTTGGTTTAATAGAATAGTCCTTATTCCTGGACCCCTGAAATTGACTTAGGTACTCAGAAGACAGCTTCAACATTCCACTGGTGTACCTGATGATTGATGAGGTGTACACTGTGTTCAGGTGATGTATTGGATACCAGAGATATATCAAGGCTTCTGAATTGAACCTTGCTCAATCAGATTAAAGTTCTTGTAAAATACTGGCAGAAGACTAACTGCCTTCATAAAAATTTGCTAGAAAAGAAAACCCTGAAATATAATAGTGTTATAATGATGGCTGCAAATAATGTTTCTGCTCCCAAAACTCATTTCAAGAATGATTTCAATACGCCAGTAACATTTTAAAGGTGTCTTTCAAAAATCTTAAGATGGGAGGATATCCCCTTTTAACTAACAGTCCCTTCTTTATGTGGTAATATGTACTTCAAGTAAAGACCTCAAAAATAACAGTTGTTTCTACAATCAGTAAAGTTTATTTGACAATTCCAAAATGTAACTAAAATTGCATTAGTATCACATTGTGCTGAAGTATTGAAACGATGTTGACTGGATGTAAAATATAACAGACTTTGCCACTAAACCATCTGATATCTAAACAGAGATAGTAGATGTCGATGCTGGAGAATCTGAGATGACATGGTGTAGAGCTGGATGGACACAGCAGGCCAAGCAGCATCAGAGGAGCAGGAAAGCTGATGTTTCGGGTCGAGACCCTTCTTCAGAAATGGGGGAGGGGATTCTGAAATAAATAGGGAGGTAGGGGGAGGTGGATAGAAGATGGATAAAGGAGAAGATAGGTGGTGAGGAGACAGACAGGTCAAAGAGGCGGGGTTGGAGCCAGTGAATGTGAATGTAGGTGGGGAGTTAGGGAGGGGATAGGTCGGTCCAGGGAGGATGGACAGGTCAAGGAGATTGGATGAGGTTAGCAACAAACAACTACACCTCCCAGTCGCGAACCATTTCAACTCCCCCTCCCACTCCTTGGACGACATGTCCATCCTGGGCCTCCTGCATTGCCACAATGACGCCATCCGAAAGCTGCAGGAACAGCATCTCATATTTCGCTTGGGAACCTTGCAGCCCAAGGGTATCAATGTGGACTTCACAAGCTTCAAAATCTCCCCTCCCCCTACCGCATCCCAAAACCAGCCCAGCTAGTCCCCGCCTCCCTAACCATTCCTCCCACCTCAAGCCTCACCTCCATCTCCTACCCACTAATCTCATCCCGCCTCCTTGACCTGTCCGTCCTCCCTGGACCTATCACCTCCCTAACTCCCCACCTACATTCACCTTTACTGGCTCCAACCCCGCCTCTTTGACTTGTCTGTCTCCTCTCCACCTGTCCTCTCCTCTATCCATCTTCTATCCGCCTCCCCCTCTCTCCCTATTTATTTCAGAATCCCCTTCTCCTCCCCCATTTCTGAAGAAGGGTCTCGATCCGAAACATCAGCTTTCCTGCTCCTCTGATGCTGCTTGGCCTTGATATCTAAACGTATCAATGTGACTCACAGTGACAGGTTGTTTTTCACGTTGAGCCCGAACTGCGCTCTTGTCCATGGCTACTGACACAGGAGGTAACGACTCTTCAGAACATTTGGAATATACAGCATCACACAAAAATGAAATATCCCTGCAAATAAGATTGGGAAGAGTAAAATCATTACACAATTATCAAATGTCACAAAGGAAAAAAAAAAGCCTAATCTCTAAATAAATAATAATAAAATGTCACCATCCCTGCACTGAAGCAGGAACAAAGTCCACAGGTAAAATACTCAATTATTTGATTTTTACACATGTGAAACAAGCAGGGAGAACAGGGTAATAAATTCTGGCCCAGCCAGTGAGACCCATAGCCCAAGAAAGAACTTTAACATTTTTCTGACAATTTATTAACCAATTAACACTGCTTCTCGCTACTATTTTCATAGTATTTCAAATGCCACAGATGTTGTTGTAACATTAAATGGTCATATTTCAGAATTTCAAGGCCCTTGTCTCACAAAAATACATGTACATGTACATTTTCTAGGTCCCACTGGTTCCCATGCCAATGCATTGTCCTAAATAACCTCATCCTCACTTTCAACCCCTTTATCGTTCAACCAAGTCCATTGATGTCCTCTAACCATGTGTACCTTACTTACATTCTTTCTTTCCTTATTTTGTGCCCATTCTATACCACAATTGGTCATGCCTAATTTTCTCTGCTCCACAGGTAGTGTTCTGACTCTTGGAGCCATTTCCTAAATTGCCTCTACCTTGTTGCCTCTGTCCTCACTTCTGAAAATCTCAAAATCTTTCTCTTTCATCACCTTCCCTTGTCCTTAGTGCTCACTGTAAAGTATTTTAGCTGTGAGTGATTGTGAAGTGTAATTTGTTGTTGTCCCACCTGAATGTTTACATTTTATTCATTGGTTAATAAATAATAAAACAGAATATTGTTTCACTTCAGTAGATTTAAGTAAGCAAACAAGCATTTGTGGATGTATTCTTTCTTAACATTTACCAGAAAAATGCATGATGGCAGACATTGCAATAAGTTTGGATAGTTTCTTTCAGTGAATAATCAATCACCTCATCACTCCTGTGAATAACAAGTTCACGACAATTATCAGGGCACATGCTCCAACGATGACTACTTCTGAGGATATCAAGGACAAATCCTGAAGATCTGGACAGAACTATTTCAAATACTTCACATCAGGATGAACTCAGTGAGATGGGGCACTTCAGTTCAAGGAATAGAGCGGACTATCTATCTTGGGATGGTGTCCTGGGAATCCCAACATGGGGAAATGGAACAAGTGAACAACTCTCCTAAGTCTTTGCACATGCTGGAATGTTGTCAGCCACCAATACCATCTCCAGACAGAAGGCAAAGTACAAAAACACTTGGATGAAACCAAAGTCTAAATACTGGCAACAGATTGCCATTTTTTCAACACTCAGCAGACAACTATAAAATGATGTTATGACCACCGAGGTTGAGAGGAACAGAGTGCTCTGAAGATGACAAGATGCTGTTTTTCAGGATGAATTTACTCTTCCAATATGCGAAAGTTAAATGTGCAGTGGCTGCCATCCACAAAGTGCTGTAAACAATTCAGGGTCAGACTTGAAGTACATCTGACCTCTAAGGAAGATCTGAGTAAAGAAATGACACGGCACGCTCAATCTTCAAATTAACAGTTCTTGAACTGGGAGCACAAAAAAAAACTACCCAGATTGGCTTTATGAAAATGATAACGGAATTCAGAAATTTCTACGGAAAAACTGCAGCATGTTCAGGGAAATAAAAAAGGCATCCACCGCAAAGGAGTCACTGCTGAAGAACTAAAGTAACTTGCAACAGAATATATGTAAGATGCAAGATGCATGGTTGGCCAAACATGAACAAGCCTAGACATGTTCTGAAGAAGAGTCACTCGACCCAAAAAGTCAACTCTGATTTCTCTTCATAGATGCTGCCAGACCTGCTGAGCTTTTCCAGCAATTTCTGTTTTTGTTTACAAATGAGCCTACACTTATCAGCTTGAGCTACTATGAAGTGCTGAGCATTTTGTTTGCTCTTCCCTCATTTGGCTACTTGCCTGCTCTCAGCACTAATGGGGAATCTCTCCTGATTAGTGGGAAAGTTATTGAAGAGTGTTGAGCTGAGCACTTCAGTGGTATACCAAAATGCCCCTCCAAGTGCAGTAGCTATAGACAAACTTCTTGACTTGCCCAAATGTAGGTACTTATATGGAACACTTTGCTGTGGTGGGTGACAAAACCAACAGATTCCTACCTTCAAGGACAGCCCCAGGCTCAGGCGGGATTGCAGGAGAAATTTACAAATCTGGGAGGCTTAGCTAGCCATCAAAAACCACAATCATATCATAACATATCACAAAACATAAAATCATCCAATCAATAGTCAGAAGTCAAAAGATACTTGGATTATTCATTTGTAGAAAGGAAAAGGACAAAAATCAAAAAGGCAAAGGACAAAAATCAAAAAGGCAAAAATCTTATTGCTTGCAATAGTTGGTAAAATTCAAGCGAAAGTTCAATTTAACAGACAGGTAAGCCACATAGCAGAACATGTACTGCCAGAAAGTCAAAGGTACTTGTGATATGATCTTCACCTTTTCACAAATACAAGAGAAATGTTGCATACAAGAGATTGGACTCCACTGTGCCTTTATTGACTGGTTACTAACAATGCCTTTACTGAAAGCCTTCGACCCAGTAAATACAGATGCCTTGTGGAGAGTCTTAGACAAATTTGGATGTCTTAGCAGAGCTATCCATGTGTTTAGTTTCATGATCGAATGGTTGAAGAGTCACTGACTGGGGCGAAATCATTGGCTCCTTTGGCAAAACAGGTGGTGTGAAGCAGGTATTCTTTGCTACCTTGATTTCTGGGGGATTTGATGGGATTGATGGAATATACATTCACATCAGCACAGACGGTGATCACTTTAACCTGAGATGACTGAAATCCTCAGCTAAGATATCAGAGATGATGACATAGACTTTTTATACTTCATTTGTAGCATGTGGGCATTGTTGGCTGGCCAGCATTTCTTGCCCATCCGTAGTCGCCCTTCAGAAGGTGGTGGTGGTGAACTGCCTTCTTGAACCATTGCAGTCCACCTCCTGTGGGCTGACACACAATGCCATTAGGGAGGGAATTCCAGGATCTTGACCCAGTGACAGTGAAGGAATGGCAATATATTTCCAAATCAGAATGGTGAGTGCCTTGATGGAGAACTTGAAGGTGGTGGTATGCCCATATATCTGCTGCCCTTGTCCTTCTAGATAGAAATGTTTGTAGGTTTGGAAAATCCTGTCTGAGAATCTTTGGTGAATTTCTGTAGTGCATCTTGTAGACAGTACACACTGCTGCTACTGAACATCGGTGATGGAGGAAGTGGATGCATGTGGATGTAGCACCAATCAAGCAGGTTGCTTTGTCCTAGATGGTGTCAAGCTTCGTGAGTGTTGTTGGAGCTGCAAGTGAGGAGCATTCCATTACACTCCTGATTTGTAATTTGTAGATGGTGGACAGGCTTTGGAGAAGGTGGTGAGCTACTTTAGTTAATAACTGTGTCCTGTAAACATAGCCTTCAAAAGGATCATAGATTTTTTTCCAAAACTGCTGATGAATATGGACTAATCATCAGTTTAAGGACGGTCAAAGATACTCCATCAATAAATTTTGACTCTATCCCACCTACTACAACAATCAATGATAACAATACTGAAATTAACCTGCGGATAACTTCACAGATCTAGCATCTCCAGAAATGCATAGACATAAAAACAGCAAACAGAACCACTAAGCATACTCAGAATTTGTCCACTTATGTAAGGATTTGAGGTGGAAACAAGGTGTGCCGAACTGTGGTGATACTTACCCTCTTACATGCCTGTGAGACATAGACTACCTACTCCAAACAAATTGAGCAGTTGCAGAAATTCCACTTGAGATGCATTTGGAACATCGTAGATATCAAATGGGAGAGCAAAGTACCAACTCTGAGATACTTCACAGCAAAAATATCAAACTGAAGCACTGGTTATCAGACAGTAGACATGTCATACGTACGACTGATGACAGAATTCCTAAGGTGGTCACGTATTCAGAATGTAAACTTGGAAACCAACTGAAGGGTAAACCAAAACTATAATCAATGATTTCTTGAAGGCAAACCTCAGGAAATGCCACACATTCATAAACTGAGAGAAAAATGCACAAAAACGAACTGACGAGCAATTTCAAGTAGTGGTGTTATTTACTTCAAATGGTAAAGAACACAGGGCTAAGGGCAAAACTAGAAAAACTATGCAGTCTCAGCAAGATCAGACAATTCATCCTTGGCTGCACTGTGAAAAGTCATACAGTGAGGTTCGGTGATCAAGTTAGAACAATAGATGACCCTATGCATGCAAACAATGGCAATGACTGATTATCAAGGGAAACCGAGCATGACAAGATGAGCAACATCCAGGACATTTCATTTACCTATTTAATATATTTCTCCACATTGACTCTGAATGAAGAGTGTACATTCAGAATTTAATAACAAACAAAATCTTACACAAAATGAATTTGCTCTAAATCCCTGAAGTACACTGCACCTTTCAAATATAGTGCAATATATTCTATGTAAACCTCCTCACTTCAGAAAGTTCTATGGACATACCTTCCACCTTGAGCCAGTTGGACAGGCTGATCTATCAAGTACTTGAATTTTGTTCTCCGAATTGGGTGATGCCACACACGATCAGTTGGTCGGATGCCGTGTATCTGTGGAGACAGAGAGTATGAATCATTTGGTGTGGGGCATAGCACTGTGTAACTGGAATAAATGAATGTACCAGAATAACTAAAAACATGCATTTTATTTTTCCTTGACTATTTAAACAAGCTTTACATAAAGACTTCTTTCTAATAAACCTGTGACTCCCATTCCTCGATCACTATCTGCTTCCTGCCTCTCAGTCAGTTTTTGGATCCAATGTGCCACTTTGCATTGGATCCCATAGGCACTTACTTTCTTGAGCAGAGTATCAAGAGGAACCTTATCAAAATCCTTGTTAAGGGTCATGTAAAGCAGATCAAATGCATTACGCTCATCAATCCTCCTGGTTACTTCCTTAAAAAATTTGATCAACTTGTTAAATGCAACCTTCCCTTAAAACCATGCTAACTATCCCCGATTAATCCATAGTTCTCCATGTGTAAATTACTATTCTTCAAAATTCTTTCTAATAACTTCCCCATCACCAAGGTTAGACTTAATGGCCTGTAATTTTCTAGCCTATTCCTTCCTCCCTTTTTTAATAATAGAACAATATGAATAGTCCTTCAATGCTTTAACACCTCACCTGTGATCAGATAGGTTTTCAAAATTACTGCCTACGCCCCTGATATCTTCTCTCTTTCCCCCCTGAACAGCCTGGAATATATCTCATTTGGATCTGCAGATTTACCTATTTTTAAGGCTGCTAAACCAGCTAGTACTACTTCTAACTATTTGTTAATTTTTTTCTAATATTTCATGGCCCTCTAGCCTGATGTCTGTACTGATACAATCCTTTCTCATTGTGAAGACCAACGTAAAGTATTCATTGAGGACTGTGCCCATGTCTTCCAGGTCCACACACATTTTATCTCTCTGGTCCCTAATGGGCTCTGCTCTTTAAATATTTTAAAAACCCATTTGGATTTTTCTTTATTCTCCCTGCCAATGCTTTCTCTTGCATTCTCTTTGCTTTCCTAATTTCCTTTTAAAGGCCCCCTCCTTGTATCTCATTTTTAAAAAAATTAAACCAAATCTTTATAATCCTTGACATCCAGGGTTCTCAAATTCTGGTCCTACCCTGGAAGCTGCCAATTCTGACTATCTTTCAACCAAGTCTCAAACAGAGTTTTAATATCATGCTGCCTATTTGTGACCTCAGCTTGTCCATCATTCTAATGGTGCCTCCACCTTAAATTGGGGCAGCAAGTTGGCTCAGTGGCTATCAGTGCTGCCTCACAGCGCCAGGGACCCAGGTTCAATTCCAGGTGACAGTCTGCGTGGAGTTTGCACCTTCTCTGTGTCTGCATGGGTTTTCTCTGGGTGCTCCAGTTTCCTCCCACACTCCAAAGGTGTGCAGCTTAGGTGGATTAACCATAATAAATTGCCCATACAGTCCAGAGATGTGTAGGTTGGGTGGATTAGATGGGAAATGCAGGGTTACAGGGATAGGGTAGAGGCATGGGAATGGGTGGAATGCTCTTTGGAGGGTTGGCGTGTACTTGTTGGGCTGAATGGCCTGTTTCCACACTGTAGGGATTCTTCTATGATATACCTCAGGCTCCTTGCATTAAAATACATTCCACTTAGCTTTACTAAACATATTTCTTTCTTATCTAACCTCTGTTTCCTCTGCCTTGCAAACTCACCTACTTGCGTTTTAACTTCTAATTCCATCTAAAATTCTCTCCTCACTGAATGATTTGTCAAAATACCAACTCCCTGCTGATCTAGGTTAAATCCACCTCAATAACATTAGCAAACCTCCCTGGAGGATGTTGGCCCATTCCTGTGCAGATGTAACCGGTCCAACTTGCACAGTTCCCACCTTCCCAGATCTAAAGTCCTCCATTCTGTACCATCTCTCCAGCCATAAGACATAGGAGCAGACATAGGCCATTCAGCCAACCAAGTCTTTTCCACCTTTCAACGAGATCATGCATATTCTGATAATCCTCAATTCCTGCCTTTTCCCCATTGCCCTCAGTTTCCTTACCGATTAAAAATCTGTCTATCACAGCCATGAAAATATTTATCCAACCTTAACAGCCCTCTGTAGTAAAGAACTCAACAGATTCATAACCCTGAGAAATGAAATTCTTCCTCATCTCAGTCTTAAATGTGCAACTCCTTATTCTGAGATTTTGCCCTCTGGTCCTAGATTCTCCCAGAAGGGGAAACAATCTTTGCATCTACAACAAAAGGACTACATCTTCTTTATTCCAATGAGTACAGGTGCTATCTGTTCCACTTCTCCTCACAACACAGTCTCTCCATACCTGGCTTGAGCCGAATGAACCTTCTCTGGACTGCCTCCAACGCCAGTGTATCTTTCTTGAGATAAGGTGCACAAAACTATGCAAAGTATTCCAGCTGTGGTCTGACTAATGCCTTATGATGTTTTAGCAATGCATTCATCTGCTCTATCCTTCTATTCCTACACTCACTTCTATAAGACATTTGAAGTAACATAGAGCTTAGTACCTTTGAAGTTCTGCTTTTCAATTTCCAACCTAACTCTCTAAAACTGCTTGCATTATCTCACTTCTCTTTCTTTCCACATCATAAGTCCCAACACATACCTTTGATAGTTCACCCTCCACTTTCAGAATATCCTGCAGCCAGTATGTGATATTCTTGATCCTGGCACCCCAAAAGCAAAATATCATCCATAGTCACGTCTATGGCCACAAGAAAACCTGTCAGCTCCACTCACTAATGAATCTCCAACTGCCATTGTCCTTCCTCACTTCTTCCTTCACCATTGAACAGCTGGACTACTCACAGTGCTATTGCCTTGGTTCGGGCTAGCCTCCACACAAAAACTGCCATGTTTAACCTTTTCCTTAGCTGAGAAATGGTCTGTAAATGAGATGCACTTGGGGATTTCTCTCAAGATCTGCTTGGTCCCCTTCTTCTGTGTGATGGTAATCCATATACATTCTGTCTGCACTTCCTTAAGCCTGCAGTCCACTAACCTCTCAGCTTCATGAATAAGAACATAAAAACATAATAACCAGGAGCAACAGGAGGTCATCTGGCCCTTCGAGCCCACTTTGCCACTCAATAAGATCACGGCTGATCTTCTGAGATAATAGGAACTGCCGATGCTGGAGAATCTGAGATAACAAGGCGTAGAGCTGGATGAACACAGCAGGCCAAGCAGCATCAGAGGAGCAGGAAAGCTGACGTTTCGGGTCTGGAGCCTTCTTCAGAAATTTCCCTTTCTGAAGAAGGGTCCAGACCCGAAACGTCAGCTTTCCTGCTCCTCTGATGCTGCTTGGCCTGCTGTGTTCATCCAGCTCTACACCTTGCTATCTATGGCTGATCTTCTCATGGCCTCAGCTCCACTTACTCAACCTCTCACCATAGCCCATAATTCCCTTACTGTTCAAAAAATTATCTATCTTAGCCTTTAAGAACACTCAATGATGAAACGTCAACTACTTCTCTGGGCAGGGAATTCCACAGATTCACAACCCTTTGGATGAAGAAGTTTCTCCTCAAATCAGTCCTAAATCTGCTCCCCCTAATTTTGGGCTATGCCCTCTTGTTCTAATTTCACCTGCCAGTGGAAACATCCTCCCTGCTTCTATCTTATCTATTCCCTTCATAATTTAGACCTTTAAGATTCCCCCTCATTCTTCTAAATTCCAATGCATATAATCCCAGTCTACTCAGTCTGTCCTCATAAGCCAATCCTCTCAACTCCAGAATCAACCTAGTGAATCTCCTCTGCACACCCTCCAGTGCCAGTACATCCTTACTCAAGAAAGGAGACCAAAACTGTACACAGTACTCCAGATGTGGCCTCACCAGCACTCTACACATCTGTAGCATAACCTCCCTCTAGCAATGAAGGTCAAAATTCCATTTGCCTTCTTAATTACCTGTTGCACCTGCAAACCAATCTCCTGCAATTCATGCACAAAGATATCCTGTTCCTTCTGCACAGGAGCATGCTGCAATTTTTTACCGCTCAAATAAGAGTCCTTTTTACTGTTATTTCTACCAAAATGGATGACTTCACATTTATCAACATTGTACTCTATCTGCCATACCTTTGCCCACTCACTGAAACTATCTATATCCCTCTGCAAACTTTCAAGAGTCCTCTGCACACTTTGCTCTACCACTCATTTTAGCATCATTCACAAACTTGACACACTATTCGTGGTCCCCAACTCCAAATCATCTATGTAAATTGTAAACAATTGCAATCCCAACACTCATCCCTGAGGCATACCACTAGTCACTGATCACCAAACAGAAAAGCACTCATTTATCCCCACCTTGTGAACATTCAGGTGAAGTGCCTTTATTCTAGTTTTTATACCTTCTTTTCAAATTCTAACATCTCCATTAATAATATCTCCTGAATTTTCCTTCCTTTTAACTTCTTTCATAGTCTTGATGTAGTTAAACGCTCCTGCACACATGTTAACCTGCTGCTTTCTTTTCTATTTATCACTGTACTTCCTGCCATTTTCCCTTTCCCTTCCCCCCCCCACCAAGGTTACTAGTTTAAAGTCCCAGTGACCATTCTATTTATACTTTTCGCTAGAACATTGGTTCCAGATCGGTTCAGGTGCAGACAGTCCCAGTGGTACAGACCAGGTCCTGTTCAAAAACTGATGCCATTGTCCCATGAAATGGAATCCCTCTTTCCCACACCACTCCCTTAGCCGCATGTTTACTTCCCTAATTTTCTTATCCCTAAGCCAATTTGCACATGGCTCAGGTAGTAAACGGAGATTATAACCCTTGAGGTCCTGTTCCTTAATTTTGTTCTTAGTACGTGATAATCCCTGAACAGGTCCTCCTTCCTAGCTTTGCCTATGCTGTTTGCCCCAACATGGACCATAACAACTGGATCCTCGTCCTCCCTCTCCAATATCCTTTCAAGCCAGTCAGAGATGTCCCTCACCCTGGCACAGGTCAGGCAAAAAACCATATGGGACTCTCAATCCTGCTTACAAAGGATGATATCAATCCCCCTAATTATAGAATCCCCTACATTACCATTTGTCTTTTGCTCCCCCCTCTTGAATAGCCTCCTGTACTATGGTGCAGTGGTCAGTTGGCTCATCCTCCCTGCAGCCCTTTTCCTCATCCTCACAGAGAGCAAGTACCTTGTATCTGTTGGACAAGGTCAAGAGCTGAGGGTGCTCTGTTCCTGAATTCAGGATCCACCTATCTGCCTCACTTGCAACCACACCTACTGTCCCTGATCGCTGACTAAATTTGAAGTGCTTAATCTACCAGGTGTGACCACCTGCTGAACTAAAGCAGCCACGTACTTCTCTCCCTCCTGGATGTGCCACAGTGTTTGAAACTCATATTCCAGCTCATCAACTCTGAGCCGAAGTTCCTTGGGCAACCAACACATGCTGCAGATGTGGTCACTGCAGCTCACAATGGGAACTGCCACCTCCCACATCATACAGCGACAGAACATCATCTGCCCAGCCATCTTTACTTAGTTAAGTAGTTTATTAATTTGTATAGTTTCTTCTTTATTGATTTATGGGATGAGGATATTGCTGGCGACGCAGCATTTATTGCCCACCCCTAATTGCCCAGAAGGCAGTTAAGAGTCAACCACATTGCTGTGGGTCTGGAGTCACATGTAGGCCAGACCAGGTAAGGATGGCAGTTTCCTTCCCTAAAGGGAATTAGTAAACCAGATGGGTTTTTCCAACAATTGACAATGGATTCACGGTCATCATTAGAGACTCTTAATTCCAGGTATTTATTGAATTCAAATTCCACCATCTGTCATGGCGGGATTCAAACCGACTCCCCAGAACGTTATCTGGGTATCCGGATTAACAGTCCAGCAATAATACCATTAGGCCATCGCCTCCCACAATTTATTAATGAGTTAATTCATTTATTAGTACTTCTTTGCTGTGTTCTTTTCAAATTTAGTGCATATTTCCTACCAGCCAATCAGGCCACAGTTTCCCTGTGATGTGCCTCCAGATTTGTTTTCACAGCTACAATGCGATCTGAGCTCAATTAATTTTATACACATTCTGTGCTACTGCTCCACCCTCTGACTGCTCCCTGCACACTAGGCCACAATCCCAGAGCTCAGTTTGTTTTATACTCACTATGCTGCTGCTCCATCCTCTGACTGCTCCCTGCAAACTAGGCCATGATCCCTGAGCTCAATTAGTTTTATACTTACTCTGTGCTGCTGCTCCACCCTCCAACTGCTCCCTGCAGATTAGCACAATAACGCACTATAATGCTCCTACTGCTGGTTAAACTCTAAAACTCAGAGCTTAAGTTGCTCTGTCTTAAGGGACTGTATGGTCATCCAGACTGACAGAAATAACAAGGCTTTCACACATAGTCCAGAATGTGCATGTCACATGCATAAACTTCCCACAGACCTCAATCAAACAGAAGGTAAAACATTGTTTTATTTTACCCTTAATCCTCCTTAAGTGTCAACTAGAAATATCTTATCTTGCTTACGTCATGGATCCCACTCAGGTCTGCCACCAGTCTGACTGTGTCTCTGTAAAGGTCCTCACCTCACCCGCTCCTCTCCATGTGCGATCTGTAACATGGTCCCCACATCACCTACTCCTCTCAGTAATGCTGACTGACTGTCACAGGGACCCCACCTCACTCACCCCTCTCAGTGATGCTGACCGACTGTCACAGGGATCTCACCTCACTCACCCCTCTCAGTGATGCTGACCGTCACAGATCCTCATCTCACCTGTTCTTCTCCTTTTAGTGTTTATATCATATCCAATTATTGCCTGTTTTACCTTAAAATTAGTTATGAATTTTCAACTTAATTTGGGTAATCTGTGACTCCTGACCCTAAAATCTTACAGGTGAGGTGGAGGGAGGAAAGCAGAAAGGCCTCAATTTTTATGATGCTTTTCATGACCACCAATTGTCTCAAAATGCTTCACAGCCAACTATGTGATTACTGTCATGACCATAGAATCATAGAATCCCCTACAGTGTAGAAGCAGGCTATTTGGTCCATCAAGTCCAAATCAACCCTTCGAAAAGCATCACACCCAGACACACACCCTACTCTATCCATGTAACTCTGCGTTTCCCATGGCTAATCCACCTAACCTGCACATCTTTGGACTGTGGGAGGAAACCAGAGCACCAGGAGGAAATCGGGAGAATGTGCAAATTCCACACAGACATTCACCTGAGAATGGAACTGAACTCAGGTCCCTAGTGCTGTGAGGCAGCAGTGCAAACCACTGAGCCACCATGATGTAGTAAGGAAGTATAGGAATTTTTTTTAATGCTGAATGAAAAACTGTTTGCTCTGTTGTCACAATATCTATATTGAGACTGCCCAAACTCAATTCAAACTGACTGTAAATATTTGAATATTAAAACATAAGAAATGGGAGGATTAATTAATTTAGCCTCTTGGGGCTAGTTTCTCTTTCAATTAAATTATAGCTATTCAGTATGCCAAATCTATCCACTTGCCCTGGTTCCATATGCCTTGTTCTTACTTTATGATCTTTTCGGGCTTTATTTTTTGTCTGTGGTCTAATGGATTCATCACGACAGCATGTATTTGTCATAGTCGTCAAAGCCAGCAGGATTTCTTCTGGGATAAAATCATTTTGGAGAGATGTTGGTGGACGTTGATCAATGACTTGTAGGTTATCCTCAAGTTTGGGTAACTCTGGAAAGACGGGATTTTAAAAAAAAGACATTAAACTACACACTGTTTCTGTAAGCCAATCAACCAGAAATTCAATATAAAACCTTAACGAGTGAGTAAATCTCACTGTTGGGGATGACTTAGCGGTTGTCAAACAGATTTGCACACATGCTTGAAGAGAACGATGCTTCTTCATCGCTGAGCCATGCCAAAAATTCACTGAATTCCTTCACATGCAAAACCAACCAAGCACTGAGCTTTGTTAGTATGAATAAACTGTTATGTGACTGAACGTGCTACATCAATCTACGTTGACCTTAAAAAAAAGTATTCCACTAAATTACGACTCAGACTGTCACCTATCTGGACTTTTCTTAAAAGTGCCTGAGAGAAGGCAACTGTGCAGAACCTGTTTTTGTAACAACATTTCATAGTTCCACTTCAATAAACCAGACTGAGACAGTTTCCCACAACTAAATCTTTTCCTTTGTGATCATACAGGAGGGAATCATCCACCCAAAGTAATTGCTCATTGACAGCCCAAGGCAAATAGCATAAAACACAAGAAGCTTAGACTGAGGAGACAATATTGCCATCCATGAGGTGGCGCTGCTGTCAGCATTAAGTGAGCATTAAGGACAATGACAGCAGCAACATGGTGTAAATGAGTAAATATTCTTGTAGGATCAACTCTACATGAGTGATTGAATCACAAGGCTTGATGGTAATGTGAGAGTGAAGGATATGCTGGATCATGAGGTCACAGATTGTGGTGGAATACAATTCTGCTGCTCCTGATGGCCACAATGCCTCATAGTTTTGAGTTCCAAGATCTATTATGAACCTACCTCATTTCATGTGGTGGTACTGCCATACAGTATAACTGTGGGTTCCTTAGTGTGAGGACAGATATGTCTTCACAAGCAATCAGTAGTGGTTGTTTCTACCAAAACTGTGTTGAACAGAGGCATCTAAAACAGGTAGAACAATTAAAACAAAATCAAATTGCTTTTTCCTTTCTGGTGAGTCCCTCACTGTCTGCTGTAGGCACAATCTGCCAGATTTGTCCTGCAGGCCCTGGTCAGTAGCTTCTTCCTAGAGCTCTTCACCATGGAGGCATACAGATCAATCAGGAGGTGGTGGTAATCAGTGGGAGGTTTCCCAGTCCATGTTTGATCTGATGCCACAAGACTTAATGTGAGTTGGTTTTAAGGTTGAGAACTCCAAGGACCACATTCCTGTCTTCATGGCACAGTGAAAATGGAGTCCTGACAAAGGTTGACTGGATCTGAAATGATGTGGAGGTGCCAGTGTTGGACTGGGGTGGACAAGGTCAGAAATCACATGACACCAGGTTATAGTCCAACAGGTTTATTTGAAAACACAAACTTTTGGAGCCTCAGACCTTCTTCAGGTGTTAGTGAGAGAGGTATATCAGACACAGAATTTATAAAAGATCAAAGGTTCACACCACTGATGAGGATGTACTAAACAAACCTGAGATGTTGTTAAATCATTAATCAGTTAGATTAAAGATCTAATGTAAATCCCTGAATTCCTTACAAATTATGGTCCTGAGAGAACTAAAGGTTTTATCAGTTTAAAGAAGAGGTGACATTTTAGGTCAGACAATGCATGTTAGGTGTGAAGCCTTGTTTAGAATCTGTTTGTGTTTTAGTTTGGAGTCAGACTGGCTTTATTTCTAAAGCAGGAATTTATAAAACGCCGTATTGACTCACTCTCTCTCTCTCTCTCTTCCCCTTCCCTGTCACACACACATACGTTGTCTCCCCACAACCCCCCCTCACACACACACACTCTCCCTCTCTCTCTCCCCACTCACTCTCCACAAACACACACATTCACCCTATAGATTCGCATATTTGCAGAATCATTTTATTTTTGTTCAAAAAACACACAAATAGACAGTCAATCTTTGATCTTTTACTTATAAATTCTGTGTCTGATACTACCTCTCCCAATAACACGTGAAAAAGGACCGAGGCTCCTAAAGCTTGTGTTTTCCGATAAACCTGTTGGACTATAACCTAGTGTCATATGATTTCTGACCTTGAATCTGAAATGTTAACTGCTTTTCTCTCTACAGATGGTGCCAGATCTGAGAGATTCTCCAACACTTTCTGTTTTGGCCTCAGATTTCCAGCATCCACAGTCCTATATTTTTATTTTGATGATGGGGGTATCTGCGCTGTTGGCCGATAGATGTGATTTTGTCAGACTGTTGCTCAATTAGTCTTTGGGGTTTTTTTTGCCACTTTCAAATTTAAGTTTCTACGTTGGTACAATACGATGTAGATGGATTTACTTGTACTACAATTTGTTTTTGTAGCTGTCTTACAACAACAATGAAGTTTTCTGGACTCTTTAAGAGGCAGTTAAGAGTCAACAACTCACAATAAGTCTGGAGTCACATATAGCCTAGAATGGATAAAAGCAGCAGAATTCCTTCTTAAAAGGGCAATTGCGCACCAGACTGGCTTTACCATAACCCAGTAGTTCTAAGATCATTATTACTGATACCAAGGATTTTTTGTTCCAGATTTATTTAATTACCTCAATTAGAAACCCCCAACTACTATGGGGGAACTTGAACTCCTGCCTCCAAATCTTGGGTTCCTGGATTCTTAGTTCACAAATAGAAGCTACCAGGCTATAGTTGTTCAAGGACAGGCCATTGTTTTTGCTGTGATCCCTTCAAAGGTTTAACTGCTTGTCATTAATTATTATCTTGTGTATAAGGAATGGAATTTTGGGTGAGGAGAATTCATGCTCTTCATACCTGCGAATCCATATACCAACAAGAAAAAATTTCAGGAGGATAGCGATATTTCAGTTTAATTCCGAATTGTAAATGATAAATTTGCTAATCCACTGAAATTTACAAGAGCCCAAGATACGATAGAATTGAAGTTTATCAAGAGGCATTGGCCTTATTGCTAGACTATTAATCCAGAAATCCAGCTAATGTTCTGGGGACTTGGGTTCAAATCTCACTATGGCAGATGGTGGCATTTGTATTCAATAAAAAAAACCTGAATTAAGAATCTACTGATGACCACAAAACCATTGTCAATTGTCAGAAAAACCAATCTGGCTCACTAACATCCTTCAGGCAAGGAAATCTACCATCTTCGCATAGTCTGATCTACATATGACTGCACACCTACAGCAATGTGGTTGACTCTCAGCTGCCCTCAGAAATGGCCTAGCAAGCCACTCAGTTGTACCAATCGCTACAAAGTCTTAAAGAAATGAAACGGACAGACCACCTGGCATCAACCTGGGCACTAAAAAAAAAACAACAGAAACAACCCAGTTGATCCTCAGTAACATCTGGGGGCTAATACCAAAACTGGGAGAGCGGTCTCACAGACTTGTCAAGCATCTGCCAGACATAGTCATAGTCATGGAATCATACCTTACAGACAATGTCCCAGACACCACCATCACCATCCCTGGATATGTCCTGTCTGACCAGCAAGACTGAGCCAGCAGAGGTGGTGGCACAGTGGTATACAGTAAGGAGGGAGGCATACTTGCCCTAGGAGTTCTCAACATTGACTCTGGGACCTCATGAGGTCTCATGGTATCAGGTTAAACAAAGGCAAGGAAACCTCCTGCTAATTACCATGTACCGCTCCCCCCCTTCGCTGATGAATCAGTACGTTTTCACGTTGAACAACACTTGGAGGAAGCACTAAGGATGGTAAAATGTACTTGGAGTGGGGGATTTCAATGTGGCTCGACAACAGCGCTACTGATTGAACTGGTCAGGTCTAAAGGACATAGCTGCTAGTCTGGATCTGCAGCACATGGTGAGGATACCAACAAGAGGGAAAAACATACTTGACCTCAAGCTGCCAGCTGCAGATGCATCTGTCCATGACATTACTGATAAGAGTGACCATCACAGAGTCCTTGAAGTTCTGCCTTCATACTGAGAATAACCTCCATCATATTGTGTGGCACTATCACTGTGCCAAATGGGGCAGAATTCGAACAGATCTAACAACTCAAGACTGGATATCCATGCGGTGATATGGACCATCAACAGCCATAGAATTGTACTCCAGCAAAATATATAACCTCGTGGCTTGGAACATTCCCCACTCAACCATTACCATCAAGCCAGAGATCAACTCTCATTCAATGGGGAGTGTAGGAGGGTGTGCCAGGACCAGCGCCAGGGATCCCTAAAAATGGCATGTCAACCTGGTAAAGCTAACAAACAGAACAACTTCCATGCCAAACAGAATAAGTAGCAAATGATAGACAGATCTAAGCTCTGCAGTCCTGCCACATCCAGTCGGGAATGGTAGTGGACAATTAAACAACTTATTGGAGGATGAGGCTCCACAAATATCCCTGTCTTCAATGATGGAAGAGCCCAGCATGTCAGTGAAAAAGAGAAGGCTGAAGCTTTCGTAGCAATCTTCAGCCAGAAGTGCCGGGTGGATGATCTATCTCAGCCTCCTCTAGTGGTCCCCAGCATTATAGATACCAGTCTTCAGCCAATTCGATTCACTCCACGTGATGTCATGCAATGGCTGGAGACACTGGATACTGCAAAGGCTATGGGCCTTGGCAACATTTCAGCAACAGTACTGAAGACTTCTGCTCCAGAACTTGAAGCTCCCCTAGCCAAGCCCTTACAGTACAGTTACAACACTGGCACCTACCCATCAATGTGGAAAATGGCCCAAGTACGTCCCGTATGTGAAAAGCAGGACAAACCCAACCCCAGCCAATTACTATTCCATCAGTCTATTCACGATCATCAGTAAAGTTACGGAAGGTGTCATCAACAGTGCTATCAAGCAGCACCTGCTCAGCAATAACGTGCTCACTGATGCCCAGTTTGAGTTCCACCAGGGCCACTCAGCTCCTGACCTCCTTACAGCCTTGGTTCAAACATGGACAAAAGAGCTGAATTCCAGAGGTGAGGCAAGAGTGACATCAAGGACGCATTCAACTGAGTGTGGCATCAAGGAGCCCTACAAAAACTGGAATCAATGGGTATTGGGGGCAAACTCTCCGGTGGTTGGAGTCCAGCCTTACACACAGGAAATTGGTTGTGGCTGTTGGAGGTCAGTCATCTCAGCTCCAGGCAATCTCTGAAGTTCCTCAGGGTAATATCCTGGGTTCAACCATCTTCAGCTGCTTCATCAATGACCTTCCCTCCATCATAAGGTCAGAAGTGGGAATGTTTACTGATGATTACACAATGTTCAGCACCATTCGCAACACCTCAGATACTGACACAGTCCATATTCAAGTGCAACATGATTGGATAATAAGAGGTATTTCTGCTATAACGCATGTTTCGTTAACGCGAATTAGCTGTAACACGATTGATAAATAGTGGATGCTGTTTAGATAACACCAACTTTCTGCTGTACAGATATAGCGATTTCCCTATGACATGATTTTCTATAGCGTCATTTTCCATAGCTTGAGATCACACAAGAATGCAACTATCGTGTTAGAGGAGAAATACCTGTATCCAGGCTTGGGCTGACAAGTGCCAAGTAACATTTGTGCCACACAAACACCAGGCTATGACCATCAACAATAAGAAATAATCTAATCACTGCGCCTTGACATTCAATGGTGTCACCATCACTGAAACCTCCACATTTAACATCCTTTGGGCTACCATTGACCAGAAACGCAACTGGACCTGCCACATAAACATAGTGGCTACAAGAGCAAGTTAGAGGCTAGGAATACCGTGGCAAGTAACTCACTTGACTCCCCAAAGCCTGTCCGTTACTGACAAGGCACAGGTCAGGAGTGTGATAGAATAATCCCATTTGCCTGGATGGGTGCAGCTCCAACAACATTCCAAGAAGTTTGACATCATTCAGGACAAAGTAGCCTGCTTGACTGGCACCACATCCACAGACATTCACTCCCTCCATCACCAACAATTAGTAGCACCAGTGTACGCTATCCACAAGACACACTGCAGAAATTCACCAAAGATCCTCGAACAACATCTTTCAAACCCACAAACACTTCCATCTATGAGGATACATGCAGCAGATATATGGGAACACCACCATCTGCAAGTTCCCCTCCAAGGTACTCAGCATCCTGACTTGGAAATATATTGCTGTTCCTTCACTGTCACTGAGTCAAAATCAAGGAATTCCCGACTAAACACCTTTGTGTGTCAATCCACAGTAAGTGGTCTGCAGCAGTTCAAGAAGGTGATTCACCACCACCTTCTCAGGGGTAACTAGTGGCAAGCAGTAAATGCTGGCAAGCCAGGGACACACATTCCACGAGGGAATTTTAAAAAATTAAAAGCAGAAGTTAGCTCAAGGACATTTCCGTTAACTCGTACTCCTCAGATACACTGATTGATTTTGAGTTAAAAATATTACATGGATTTCATTGGGTTAGATGCTGTTTGTAATGTTAATGTAGTTAACATACCACTAAAGAATAAATATAACCTGTAATGCTATATCAGTCTCCTCTTGTATTAGAATGGAGATGAATAGGAATATTGCCTGATTCAAGATCTCCTCCAAGTCACATAGTCTCCTAAATTGGAAAATGTCTCCATTCCTTCATTGTCACAAGGTCAAAATCCTGGAATTCCTCCTGACAATGCTCTGGGCATATCTTCAACGCACAAATTCCAATGGTTTCAGAAATGAGCTTACGAAGACCTTCTCAAGGGCAATTAGAGATGGGCAGTAGATGCTGGCCTTACAGAAATGTTGTATCCCATGAATGAATAATAAAGATTCCACTTCTTCCTGTGGGAATCACTAGATAGTGCTCAGTAGCAGGTACAATAGCTCGAGTCTTTCCCAATCTGTAGTCCATTGGCTTCTATAGTAATTACATCATGTGAGTTCACATCCGGACTTACATCAGCAAGTTCACCTAGTACATGCTGGAAACCAAATCTGTTTTATGTGGCTTAATTGAACACCAGCTAGTATCATTACTCACAAGATCAGACCAAAAGAAAAGTTCTGAAAACATCTAAGTAAACAATATCATAATTCTCTCAAGGGGGTTTATATCAAAATGATCAGGATTGAAACATTACATTTTAAATGTTTGACTTCATACGTAATAAGGTTCAATATTTGCACTTCACCTGTTTGTTCCTTTAAAGGCGTGCAAATCTCAGTGTGTGGTTTGTCGCTCTCCCTGTCTTTCTTTCCATCACCAAAACAAGCACATATGTTCAACATCTGTTCAGAAGTTGGACTGGACTCTATTGAAAACAAAGCACAAGTGTGGCCTTCATTAGTTTCAAAGTTGCTTGAAATCTTCATTCTATATGCAGAGCAGACATTTCAACTATACACCAAAGCCCATCTAGTCTCATATAGGTCTTTAATGCTAGTACATTGATCATAGCTGCCCAAGTCAAATTAAATAATTTCCAATTCAATTTTATTTAAGAGTGAATCATTTTTTAGCTCTTCACACAATAACTTGCTTTTGTTATGTGAGAAGATGCTGAAAAACCTGTAACAGAAATATACTGTAAACAGCTGTGAGATGGAGAAATTATATTCTCGAAGGGATCAATATTTTCATCAGGCAAGAATATGAAAAGATTTGGAACAAAGGCAGTAAAGCAATGATTTAATTGAGCAGCAAAACACTTACTTCTGTTTGAATGCTTCAAGTATTGGATAGAAAACAAGGAAAACATCTTTTAAATAAAATAATGCTATGAAATATTTAACACCATTCTGAAATGATCCAAATTGCTATTTGGGACCCAGATTAAATTTATAGAACATAGGAGCAGGTGTAGGCCAATCAGACCTTCAAGCCTGCTCTGCCATTCAATATGATTATGGTGGTCATTGAGCTCAATATCCTAATCCTGCCCTCTCCCCATATCTCTTGATCCCTTTAGCCACAAGAGCTATATCTACCTCCTGATTGAAGATATCATGATTTTGCCTCAACCACTTTCGGTGGTAATGAATTCCACAGGCTCACCAATCTCTAGGCGAAAAAATTTCTCCTTATCTCAGTCTTCAAAGGTTTAACCCTTCTCCTTAAACAGTACTTCTGGTTCTGTACTCCCCCACCATTTCTTGTCTAGTCCCATCAGAATTTTATAGGGTTTCTACGAGGTCATCTACTCAGTCTTCCAAATTCTAGTGAATACAATCCTAACCAACTCAACCTCTCATCGTATGTCATTCATGCCACCACAGCAATCAATTTGCTAAACCTTAGCTGCACTCTCCCTACAGCAAGAACATCCTCTCTCAGATAAGGAAATCAAAACTTACTGCCTGAAAAAATGAATTAGTTGAAGGTTGGTCTGGTATGTATAATGCAGCTCTCTTTCAGTATTGATGGGAAGGATAATCATGCCAAATGATGCAATCGGTTCAAATAGCACTATCACTTCAGATCATAGAATGTAGTAGAAACTTACAGCACAGAAGAATCCCTTTTAGCCCATCATGTCTGCAGCAACCAAAAAGGATTATTATATAATCCCACTGTAGAGATCTTGGCCGTCTTGTAGGTTATGACATTTTAAGTGCGCACCAATTAATTTTAAATGATGGGCACTTCTGTACCCCTGCACCCTTTCACGCAGTGACTTCCAAATGCAATCACTGTCCACAATTTTTCTCATACCTCTCTTTACCTCACCTGAAAATCTGAATTTCCAATCTTGCTTGTTTCTCAGCTATACGCAGCAATAACTATAGTGTCATAATATTACATGTCTTCTGCAATCTCAGCTATTTTGTCTTATTCCCTAGATATCTTGCATTGAAGTATATGCCACTTAGCACTATCAAACTCTATTATTGTTCAAACTTTGGTTTCCTCTGCCTTCTCAACATGTATACCAGTTCAAAATATCTGCCTTCCATTTCCAACTCTTCCCCCTTTGGAATCTACTTCCAAACTTCCAGCCCCTTACCAATCTAGTTTAAAACCTCCCCAACAGCATTGACAAAGCCACCTCTGAGGAGACTGGTCTTGGATCTGTTGAAATGCAACCTGCCTTAGCTTGGTTCATATCTTTGTGTCGTGTTCCTTCATAAAGATTTACCACTTGCACATTGGATTAATGAGGGCATTAGGTAAATTTAACAGACAAAGTAATGAGTTGCTGTGTAACTGCAATTTACCCACACATCCTTAGTCAAGCATGCCGCTGCTTCAACTCATCGTGCTGCTGGTCTTAACATATGCAGCTTTGAAGCAGTAATTCAATAGTTTGTACAGATCCGACAAGCCCACAAGTGATCACAATGCCTCAGCAATCTAATGCACTTTCTTCTCACCATCCCTCCAGCCACAAATTCATTAACTATTATCTTGCCATCCTCCACTTGCCGATAGCACTGGTAGTGATCCAGAGATTTCAATCTCTTTCTTCAATTCCTTTCAGGGTTCTTTAACGTAGGCTGAAGAGGGATACAGTCCTGTAGGCTGTCTTGATGTCAACATGAGTAAGTCTGGTTGTTCACCCTGCCCCTTCTGAATATCCACCTTGCTATCATCATTTCTTTAATCAATATTATGAAGCCTCATTTTCCATTCCCCTCCCTATTTCATCTGACAACCTTGTAACCACGAGTTCCAAAGAACCCAAAACATTAACTCTGCATTCTCACCGCAGATACTGCCAGGCCTGCTGAGTTTCTCTGGCAATTTTCTGTTTTTGTTTCGGACTTCCACCCTCTGCAGTTCTTTGATCTTTTTTGGAAGCAAAAATGCTCAGCATTTCTGCTTTTGTTTCAACTATTACTCGGTAGAAGCCATAATATATTCTCAAATGTCAAATTTCTTCAGAAAGGGTCCTGACCCGAAACGTCAACTTTCCTACTCCTCTGATGCTGCCTGGCTGCTGTGTTTCTCCAGCTCCGCACTGTGTTATCACTCTTGCAAAGCTTTGTTGTACTCCCTCCAAAACCAATATATCCTTCTTAAGGTGCAGTGCCCAGATGTGCTCTCAGTACTCGAAGTGGGGTCTAACCCAGGGTTTTGTATTACTGCAGCATAACACCTGCATCCTTCTTATCCAAGTCTCTAGATATAAAGGCCAGCATTTCATTAGCTTTTATGATTATTTTCTGCAGACATTTGTGACATTTTAAAGATCAATGCACCTGAATTCCCAAGTCTCTTTGGACATCCACTGTCATTAACTTCATGCCATATAGAAAGTATCCTGATCTGTCCTTTATCAGTCCAAAATGGATAACATCACATTTATTTATATTGAACTCCATCTACCACAGTTTTGCCCATTCACTGGGTTATCACTATCCCTTTGTAATTTTATGCTATTATTTACAGTGTCTATAATGCTCCCCAACCTCGCGTCATCAGTGAATTAGGACGTATGACTTTCTTTGCCATTATCCACGTCATTAATAAATCATGTAACTAATTGAGGCCCTGACTCAGATCCTTGTGGACAGCAGTGGTCACATCCTGCCAATTTGAGTACTTATCCCTACATTTTTTCACCTATCACTCAATCAATTTCCCATCCATGTCAGTAATTTGTCCTCAGTTCTGTAGCTTCTAGCTTAGTTAATAGTCTCTTATGAGTGATTGTAATGTCTTCTGGAAGTCCATATAAACATCTATAGACATCTCCCTGTCCATTACCTAAGTCACCTCTTCAATAACTTCAACGAGATTTGTCAGGCAATACCTACCAGTCATGAATCCATGCTGGCACTCCGTGATTAACTGAAATTTACTCCATCCTTGATTATAGACCAACAATTCTGCACTATAATTCCATGGCTTTCCTCTTTTGCATTTCTTATAAAGCTGTGTGACATGTGCAATTTTCCAATATAGAGGGATGTCTCCTGATTCTGGGGACCTCTGAAAGATTACATACCTAAAATGTGCTCCCCTACCTCCTTGAATGGAGACTGTCAGGGATTTGTCACTCTTGAACTCCATTAATTTCCTCATTACTGATGTTTTACTTACATTAATTTCATTCACTCCCTGTCCCTAATCCACTATTAATTGCCTTGGGACTGCTTGCAAGCTATCCTCCTTTATTACTCAAAAAACGGAGGCAAGGAAATTATTCAACATATCTATTTCTCTAAAGTCAATGACAATATCCATGATTTCAGTCCTTAGTGGGCCAATATTGCTCCTGACCTTTATGTAACTATAACATTTCTTCTTATTGATTTGGATGTCCCTGGCAAATTTCCTTTCATGATCCCAATAGTGGCTCTTACAAGCTGCTTTTTGGCCCTTTGTCTTTGGATCTTTCCCATTTAGTCTGATCTGTGCTGCTTTTTGCATTTTTTTGTAAGCCCTTTCCTTTGGCTTTATGCTGTCCCTTACCTCTTTAGCTGTCTGTCCATGGCTGTTTTATCTGTGAAGTGGAACTTTCCCTCTCAGAGGTATAAACTGGTTTTGTATTATTAAATGTTTATTTAAACATTCTCCACTGTTCTTTAGTTTTTTTGCCCACTGGCAGAATTTCCCAGTTTACCATGGATAGTCTCTACCTCATCTCATTAAAGTTGGCCTTACCTAAATCTAAAACTCTCATGGCTGATTCATGCTTATCGCTTTCAAATGCTACATTGAACTGGATCATGTTATGATCACTATTTAATAAATGCTCACGCAATTAATTAAATCAGGCACATTACTCATTATTAAATCCAATATCGCTCATCGTCTTATTACAACCAAGACATATTGCTATACGAAACCATCCCAGACATGCTTTAGAAATTCAGAAACTCAGAAATTTGATTTGATTTATTATTGTCACATGTACTGAGATGCAGTGAAAAGTATTGTTTTGCGTGCTATCCAGGTAAATCATACCTTACATAAGTACATCAGGGTAATGGAACACAATACAGAATATAGTGGTTCAGCTACAGAAAAGGTGCAGAGAAAGATTAACTCTAATATATAAGAGGTCTGTCCAATAACTGATAACAGCAGGAAAGAAGCTGTTCCTGAATGTTGGTAAATGTATTCAAACTTTTGTTTTTTCTGCCCAATGGAAGAGGGTGGTACTGAATATAACTGGGCTGGGAGGGGTCTTTGATTACATTGGCTGGTATAGTGAAGTGGCAAGCAACTGGAAGGTTAAGGTCATTCCTACAGACAGAATTGCAAAGTGGTCACTCTGTCTGTATTTGGTCTTGTCAATGTAAAGAAGACTAATTATAAGCAACAAAAACAGTGGACCAGATTGAAAATGTTCAAGTAAAATGCTGCTTCATCTACAAAGTGTGTTTGGTGTCTTGGATAGTGAGGAAGGAGGAGATACATTTTAGATTTTATTGTCACATGTACTCAAGTACGGAGAACAAGCGTAAAAAGTGCACATTGTCTCCACATGTGGCGCCATCTTAGGTACAAAGTAGCTAGGTGCAAAAATCTTAGTTATAGGAGTAGAAAAATAAAGAAATAAGTTAAAAAGTCAAACATTACAATCCTTTCTTAAGCCATGGGGCTGCCGACACTCCAAGACGGGCTTTCCCCACGAGGGCTCGCTCTCCCCTGCGCCGGGCATGCTTTCATCTGTGTTGGGCCAAGATCCGCCCGTGCTGCCGACCTCCATTGAGCACGCTGGGTTTCGCTGCCGCTCTCAAGGCTTCAGCTCCCAAAAGCCACCGTCCTTTGCGACCGACCACCACTGCCACTATCTTTTGCCGCCACTGTCGTCATCTGGGCTTGCGCTGAGCCACGTCTGCTGCCCATGTCCGATGCAGTGTTCAACACCTCGTTGCAGAGTCCTCTCTGGTACCGCTGTGGATATCGATGAAGCCGCAATGCCACCGACCGTGACCAGCAACTTCGTGACTGACTGTTAATGTCTCCCAGCCGCGGCCTCCACGACCGAGCTCCCTCCAGGAAGTAAGTAGAGAAAGAAAAAACCTAAAGAACTGGAAGAAAGAAAGAAAGAAAAGAGAAAAGAAGAAAGGAAAGCAATCGGAGCGGATGAACTCCAGTTAGGAACCCTACTCCGCCGCCATCTTGCTTATTTGATAAATGGACAATCAAAAGAATTCCACTCACAATTCATCTCAATACTTTCTTTCAAAACAGGTATAAAACTGATTACCATATATTTCAAGAAAAATCAAATCAATGTACTTCTAATGCAACTTACTGGTTGAGAAGCACTTTGAAATATTCTGAAGATGCAAAAGGAGTTAATTAAATGAAAATTCTTTCTTGGCTTACCTGGTTGCTCTTTCAAATATTTGCACACATTTGAATTGAGCTTAGCGCTATCCTCATCGGGTTTTGGCATGGCAGGAAGAACATCATCGCTAGGAATGTCACTAAAAGAATCACACATTTCCGACAGCTTTCCAGTGTTTCTAGTAAAAACTATAAATAAAATTAACTTTAAAATCAATTCAGTACTGACTTTTTTCCACACACAACAAAAACTCAAAATGCCAATAATTATGTAGATTTGCAGAAGCATTTTTTTGTCTAGTCCTGTGACTTAAGTTTAAGATTAATACTTAACTAGTTTACATACACCTTGTCAAGAGTAAACGAAAACACAATATTCAGATTTATCAATGGTCTATGCTGAATTTTAACCTACCTTAAAGAGATATTTTCACCTCCATAAAATTGCCAAGCCCCATCTTCCCTTAGTCTCTCTGGCACTGAAATCTTACAAAATCTTGATCACCTCCAAATGTGACTATTCTAAACATCTACCCTTGTTGACCTCAACCCTCTTGAACACCTGACTAAATGTCTGGTGCACACATTCTTTTCCACATTACATCTCCCTAATCAATCACTGATCATTCTCCAACCTACATTGTTCCCAATTTCTCAATGTATCGCCTTGACTTTGCAGTGACATTGTTGGAACTGTGCTCAGAGAATGTTAGCGAACTCTTACCATGGATTTTCTCTTTCCTGTGTGGTAGTTTAAATCTGGAACCAAGTTAAGGAATTTTTTTTTGTTTGGCATGTAGTAGTAGTAATTAAGCAATCAACCAACCACACTGAAATTTTCATTGTGTAAACAGCACTTAAATATCATTCATCTTTATTTTAAATTTCAGTTAACTAAATATATTACAATTCAATTTAGACAAAAGCTAAAATTAAACAAGAATTGTATTTATAAAAACACGGAATTTATGAACTTAGACGTTCTAGAAATAAGAATCAGTTATTGAGGGCCAGGGATCATGTTTTGCAGTAATTATGAAATTAAAAACCCAGTTACACCTAAACCAACCATTTTAAAAGGCATTTTATTGCAAAACTATAAGTAAGAGAGAGTGCTCTGGACAATTAACTGACTTTCTGATATTGCAATCTGAGAATCATTCAAAAAGTACAATTGGAGAATTGTGGAATCATTGACAATAACGTCTAGATTTCAACGTAATTCCATTGTGTACTGTTCAGAAGTTGCCTTCAGTTTCACTGGAGCAATGACAACAAACACCGTCAGTTTTGTCATCATGGTCAATGCAAAAACCTGGCCAGAAATTTAAAATCCTCTTTTGTATTTAAATCCCTCCAGGTTTCAGACCCACTCTATCTCTTCAATTTTCTCAGCCCGATCTTGACCACCAAACACAATGGCCCAAATCCTGCAATCTGGAATGGAATCCCTATTTCCAACAAATACAGAATGCTGGAGAAACTCAGCAGGTCTGGCAACATCCAAGAAAAGAAACACAGTTAACATGTCAAGTCTGGTATGGCTCTTCTATTTCCAACCTGGATCAAACAAAAAATTACATACTTACCTTTCTACCATTTTATAAGTCTATCTTCTAACACAAAATTTTTAATTACTGACACAGTACAGCAATCCTCACAGACATCAGGGTGAACAATCTTCAATAGAAGCCACACATCCTTTGACTAGCTGTTGTTTTCCACTAAGCAAAAAGTTTGAAATGCCCAAAGCCTCATTGAGAATCTACAGAAACGTGTAAGATAGTATTGTGTTAGATGGGTGGGTGAGGAGCTTGGGGGCATAGTTGGCAGGTGGGTAAGGGGGTAGAGTGGCAGTTGGGTGAAAGGATGGTTGGAGGTTAGATGAAATATGCCATTGGGATAGTTGGGGAGTTAGAGGGTGTAGTAGGGAGTCAGAGATTTTCAGTAGTGTAGTTACCCCAGAGATAGAACTACTTTTAAATCTTCTAAAAGGTTTCCCAAATAACCATCCAGATACACAAGTCAGAATCCTCCAAAGTCTTTAAAGTCAATCTTCGAGTTAGAAACATTCTCGGAGAACCCAGAAGCAGGGTAATTGCATGTCAGAAGTATAAACTTCTCAGACAATTCTGTTTATAGTTACTGCTTCAGGACATCCAACGGCACGGGGTTCATCTGGTATTCAGGCTATCTGGTGTACAGAAGATCTTGGACATTGTTCTTTCTGATTCTGGCTCTTGTAAGGTCCACCTCCCTTTGCCCAATGATAATACAGCCTTTTGCCATCCCCACGCCAATCTTTGGAATTCCATTCAAAAACCACTTCACTGTACCTCATTTATAGAGTCATACAGCAGGGAAATAGACCCTTCAGTCCAACTCATCCACGCCAACCAGTTGTCTCAATCGCCAGCATTTGGCCCATATCTCTCTAAACCCTTCCAGTTGCCTTCTAAATGTTGCAATTGTATCCACCTCCCCACTTCCCCTGGCAGCTCGTTCCATATACGCACCACTCTCTGCTTGAAGAAGTTAGCCCACAGGTCCTTTCTAAATCTTTCCCCTCTCACATTAAACCTATGCCCTCTAGTTTTGGACTCCCCCATCCTGGGAAAAGGACCTAAGCTAATCACCGTATCCATGCCCCTCATGATTTTGTAAACATTTACAAGGTCATTTGTCAGACTCCAACACTCTAGGGAAAAAGGCCCAGCCTATTCAGCCTCTCCCTGTAACTCAAATCCTTCAGTCCCTATAACACCCTTGCAAATCTTTTCTGCACCCTCTCAAGTTTAACAACATCCTTCCTATAGAAAGGTGATCAGATTTGTACACAATATTCTAAAAGTGGCCTCATAAATGTCCTGTACAGCCACAACATGACATCCAAATTCCTATACACAATGTTCTAACCAATGAAGGCAAGGGTGTCAAACACCTTCTTCACTACCCTGTCTATCCACGAATCCACTTCCAAGGAATTATGCACCTGCATGCCAGAGGTCTCTTTTTGGCAGCATCCCCATGTCCCTACCATGACGTGTATAAATCCTGCCCTGGTTTGCATTTCCAAAATGCAACATCTCACATTTATCCAAATTAAACTCCATCTGCCACTCCTCCACCTATTGGCACGTATGATCAAGGACTCAAAGTACTTACTGTCCACTACATCACATATTTTGGAGTCATGTGCAAATTTACTAACCATACCTCCTATTCACATCAAAGTCATTTATACACATGATGAAAAGCAGTGGATCCAGCACCTCTAGACTTCAAAAAAAATATTTCTGGAGACCCATTTCTTGATCAATAAATAAACGAGCACTAACTTCCTAACTCGTGGGATTTTCTTATAACAGCCCATTGGTGCCAGATTAAAACACTTCTCATTAAAATCATGAAACTATGTCATAAGTCATGGAATATCAGTTTCCAACATTTATTTTCTCTTAAGATGCTATTCTACTTTTGACCTGAACAACTATATGAAAATGCTCAACGTTAAACGTAATAATGAATGCAGCGCACTTGGTAGCTGTCAGTTTCTTTTCCTCATCAACTTGTTTGGGCATGTGGTAGTCACACCGTGAAGAGAGGCTTGAAACCGGACACTCTGGCCCAGAGGTAGGAACACTACCTGTCGCACCACAAAACCCGTAGGATGTCAGATTTGTTTGATGGTTTATGAACCAGCAGTAATCAATGCAACATCCAGAATTGGTGTTTCTCCACTGTATAAAACAGCGGTTCCCTCTTGCGGTGCAGTGAGGTTCAAGTCCCACCTGCTCCTGAGGTGTGTAATAATCTGTAGACAGGTGGATTAGAAAAATAGGTTTTAAAAAAAACAACAGCGACACTTTCTCAAAGGCAAGTTGTAGGGACTGGCATTAATTACGGGCCTACAGCCAGCGATGCTCACACTGGAGGAATGAATTTCGACAACGAAAGAAAACACAACGGGGCAAGAGTAGCGGGTCTATGAGACAGTAAACGGTGAGCGAGCTGGAAGTTAGCAACACTTACAGTAACTGCAAAGTGCTGGACTCAGCCCACACTCACCCTTTCCTCTGGGCCGCTCGAGGCTCCGCCCGTTGCCGCCGACCGATCTCCAGGGACGCGGCCGTCCGCCCCGTTACCATGGCAACGACTAAACATCTCCCTCGCCGTCTGCCGGTTTCCACTATTCACAGCAAGGGCGCTCTTGTCAGTTATAACCATGTTTAACAGGTAACGGCCTGGACTGTGGACACAGGGGTCTTACCCGCAGACATGACCACTCACTTCCCCCTCCTCCCCTCCACCACACCGTTCCCACAGGCCGCTGCTAGGGCTGCCCACCCCCCAAATCCAGGTCCCGGAGGCCCCGGGCCCAGCCCGCTCTGCTGTCTCCCTGGTTACCGACAAGAACTTTTACTGTCAAGCTCCTCCACTTATTTTCTCTCCGTTGGACTCCAAGCAAATTGATCAGAAATAGTTGCTCAGCAACATTGAAGACCCGATAATCCTGAGCACACGAGGACTGCTAAGAGGAACAGCAAGTATTTAATGAAATTTCTTGATAAACGTAATAAGGAATGACACAAAAATACCCTGCAATTCCTTAACAGAGAAACGTGCAAGAGCCCACTGAAGTAAATAGGAGTATACCCAGCGTGTGAAAAAAAAGAAATACAAACGGAAAAATTCTCAAACCATGCAACAGTTTTAACAGGCGAGCTCAATAAAATGTGCCTTCTTATCCCAGATCACGAAGTCGAACAGAAAATAAGGCTTTGAGTCTTCCCCGCCTCCCCCATTTCTGAAAAAGAGCCCCGACCCGAAATTCCCGTCTAAGAACTGGAAATAAGTTTTAGGATTTAAGCCACATTCGTGATTGTCCCAACGAATGGACATGGGAGATCCCACTTTCGAACACTCAGTCGTTAAACGGAGTTCTCGCATTGAATAAGAATGCGGGAAACTGCAGTGACACTGCTCGAAATTCCCTCATGCGTCTTCTGGTTTCATTTCAGATATCCAGATGGGCAGTACTTTTATTAGAATAAAATTAATAGACTTTCATATTAGTTAATAACAAATTTCGATTACAAATGTAAGTAAATAAAGATTTCATTATGTAAAGTTCAACTGCCTCGGTTTTTGAAAGTGGACCAATTTCCAGATGGCCTGATTAGAAGAAAAGGTGTATATTAGTGACATTCCCCAATGAAGGGAGTTTTGGGTGTGAAAGAAAGGGAACAGTTGACAGACTGTTGGCCACTTATGAACGTGAAGCGAGGAAGGATTATTTTTCATGTACTTATCCAAATATCTTTTAAACATTGTGAGGAAGGGTAGTTGTAGGTCCAATTCATAGTTCATTCCCCACACAATACCACAAAAGCAAAATCCATCCACTGTTCTAGATTAGTGGCAGGTGTTATAATGCAACTTGTACATCATGTAAGAGTAGAGTTAAGTTTCAATCACTTCTTACCTGTCTACTTCCACTTTGAAAAACCACCCTCTTTGGCAGATCCCTACAAAAACATTAGTTTCTTTCCATGGTCTTCCTTGATGGGCTTTTGAGTCCCACCCTATGTAAAATAGCTCACCTAAGACTACCTTATACGCATTACATCCACTAACACTCCTAATTCTTGCTGCTTTTCAGTTTATTCTTTTCTTCAAATTTTCCATGGCCAGGACTCTTCCATCACTTAGGTTTGCACTTCCTCCACTGTATCAATGATGACAGTAGGTGAATGATCATGGCCAGAGTGAAGCTAAACACTTCTGTCAGAGCTTGTGAAAATAAATTTATGATCAAATACAAGCATTCAGTGTCCCAATCAATGTGGGCTTAGTCAGAAGCAGGCATATGTTTTCACTTATTGAGGATAACAAGAGGAATAGTCAATGATATTTGATCAGATAACCCACTGAAACACAGCTTTTGTATACAGGAGTCTTGAACCTAGTTCAATAAAACCACACAACCCACAAAAGCCTTTGTTAAAAGTTCCTACGAAAAGCTCTTGTTGAAACATTGCTACCCTGGATTAGAGACACAGGAACCAGATTTAACAAGGACAGACACAACCACAAGACAAAAAGGAACAGAGCTACAGTCCATTTGTAACAAAGTCAGAACTGAAACCTGCAGTTTTAAACAAAGCAGTCCTATAATTTATTAGTACGTGAGAGGAAAGAAACTTCAAAATCCTGTCTCAACTGAGATAGTTTAAAAAATTGGATTTCAAATGAGTGATATATGGATGAACTGAACTGTTTTTTGTGATGGTGTTTAATAATTAAAATCTTTGGTATCATGACTTTAAACCACTATGTATCAGAGAGCAGATGACTGACAGACTTCTGTAATACTCATGGAAGTGTACTTATTTTGCAGGGTTTTACAACAAGAGAAAGAAAATATTAAAGTTAGCCGAAGCTGTGACAAGTAAGCTTTTCTTAATTTAGTTAAAAGCTTCTGAATTCAGTTCAAAGGAAACTTGCCTGAAGTCAACTGCAGAATATCTGAAAATGGAATAGCAGCAGGGATTAGAGCATTTGGCCCCTCAAGCATTCAACAAGATCATGGCTACCTCGGTCTCTACTCCTCTTTCGTGCCTGCCTATCATAGGCCTCAACTCCCTGATATTTCAAAAATCTATCGACGTCTTCTTTAAATACTTTGTGATCCAACCTTCATATCGTTTGGCGTTCTCTACCCCAGATATTCACTGAACTGTGGGAGAAGAAATTCTGTTGCATCTCAGTTCGAAATGTAAGTTGTTGTCCCTTCACTCAAAGTCCCTAGTTCAAGATCACCCCACAAATAGGAACACCTTGTCAGCATGAACCCTGTCAATCCCTCAGTGAAAATGATCATATTCAAACATACAATGAAATCAATCTTTTAAACTCTATTGAATGAAGGCCTAATCTGTTTAGCCATTCTTGACATATCAACCACTTCATCTGCAAAAAAAAAACTCTCCATTACCAGTGTATCCTCTCTTCAAATGGGGACCATAACGGTACACAATACTCTAGGTGCAGCCTCACCAACATCTTGTAGAGTTGTACAAGTCTTCCCTATTTTAAGATCCAACCCCTTCTCAAACAGAATCCTTTATGGGCCCTCTTGTAGCGCAGTGGTAGTGCCCCTGCCCAAGAGCAGGGAGGCCCAGGTTCAAGTCCCACCTGCTTCAGAGATATGTAATAAGTTTCTGAACAGTTGGTTGGAAAAATCATACGTATTCCTTTCTGCCTGTCCTCTCAATGTCTAATATTTAGTTCCGAGCTTTGATTTCCTTGTAACCATGTCTCCGTAATTGCAATAAGATCTTACACATTAACCGCTATTTGTGCCGTTAATCTATTTCTTTTGTTCCAAACATGATTCACACTCGGGGGCCATTAATTTGGATTTTTGTAGCCTTTTGGACTCCGAGTTCAATAACTTTAGATTATTAACATTGCCCTTCACTTTGAAGTATTTCTTTACTCACAGCTTCCCCTACCCCTCCAACTCCATCTTATTTCTCTTTTTGCTTTCAGCTGAGCTCACTTTAAATTTGCATTTAACAATTACTCTATCTCAACCTCTCTACAATTAGTTGTGCTATGTACCTCAAGTTTCTAACCCTGCCAACCATTCTGGTGAATCTCTTTTGCGCCAGAATGCCTTCATATCTTCTCTCAAGTGTGGCACCAGATTTGGATGCAATACTCTAGCTGAAGTCAAACCAGTGCTTTAAACAAGGTTAATATAACTTTTTTTTTGTTTCAATCATGTTCTTTATTAATAAAGTCTAGCATGTTGCAAACTTTATACTTCATCTTTAATCTGTTCTGCCACCTTCAATGATTAATGCACATATACAGCCAGCTTCATCTGCTCCTACACATCTCTAGAACCCACCTCACTATCTACTCCTCTGTACTGCTAATATTTTAAACATTTGATCAAAATCACCCTTTAACTTTCTAAATTCCAAGGAATACAACACTAGTTTGTGTAATAACAGGAGTAGGTCATTCAGCCCTTTGAGCCTGTTCTGCCATTCAAAGAGATCATGAGTGATGAGTGGTTTAACTCCATTTTCTTCCAAATTCATTTCCAGGATATGGATATTGCTGACTGGGCTAGTAGTTATTGCTCAAACACATTGCTAGGAGTCTGGAGTCACACATGGAACAGACCAGTAAGGACAGCAAAGTCTCTTCCATTAAGAAGTGAACCAGATTTTTTTTCCCTAACAATCATTTCATGGTAAATAAAAACCGAAAGAATTGCGGATGTGGTAAATTAGGAACAAAAACAGAAGTTGCTGGAAAAGCTCAGCAGGTCTGGCAGCATCTTTATACTTCATCTTTAGTCTGTTCTGTCACCTTCAATGATTTATGCATGTATACACAGTCAGCTTCATCTGCTTCTGCACATCTCTAGAACCCTTCTCAGAAGGGTCACCGGAACCAAAACGTTAACTCTGAAGTTTTCTTCAGAAATGCTGCCAGACCTACTGAGTTTTTCCAGCAACTTCTGTTTTTGTGTCAGTTGTTTCACGGTCATCATTAGACCCTTAATTCTATCTGCTTTGGTAGGATATGAACTTGGCTCCCCAGAACACAGATCTTCAATCTCTCCCTCCTACAAGCCAAAGTCCCCACCTGCTTCAAGACCACCATTATTCGAGTACCTGAGAAAGTACATGCAATACGCCTTAATGACTACCGCCCAATGTCTCTGACGTCCATAATCATGAAGTGCTTTCAGAGGTTGGTCATGGCCCACATCCATTCTAGCCACCTAGCCTGCCTTGATCCCCTACAATTTACCTACTTACGTAACAAGTCCACAGCGAAACACCATTTCCCTAGTCCTGCACTCATCCCTGGAACATCTGGACAACAAAGGACACTTACGTCAGACTCCTGCTCATCAACTACAGCTCCACTTTCAACACCATTATCCCATCCAGACTGATCTCAAAATTCCAAGACCTAGGTCTCAGATCTGCCCTCTGATTCCTGACTCATTGACAGCAATCAGTGAAGATAATCAACT